CACCGATACTTGAAACTCGGGTTGTTCCGTGCCCACTCCAATGCGATGCGTCCAGTCCTAACGGACGCTAACAAATACTGTCGCCTCAAGTTTGCCATGGCAATGATCAAGGCTCATATGTATCTGCCGGACATGCTACACTACGTGCATCTGGACGAGAAATGGTCTTATCTTACAAAGACCACTCGTAAATACTACTTCGTTCCTGGGGAACGTGAACCACAACGAACATGTAAAAGCAAAAGGTACAATACACGGGTTATATTCTTCAGCGCGATACATCGACGAAACCAGCACGTGGTGGGACGGCAAGATAGGTACGTGACCGTTCGTCGAGTCAGTACCAGCTCAACGCGCCAGCATCAACCGCCCGGCTGGTACCTTCGAAACCAAGTCAATCGCGGTTACAAAGGATGTATTTCGTGCCATCCTTCTCGAGAAAGTCCTACCCTCGATTGCGGCAAAATGGCCAAACCTCGACAAGACGGTGGTGCTACAGCACGACAATGCCCGGGCCCACGTCACCCCATGGACACGCAACTCGAGGCCGCCTTCGACGAATTCGGCAAGAAAGTTGGGTTTTCTCGCTCGTTTCCCAGCCGCCAAACTCCCCGGACACCAATATCTTGGATCATGGCTTCTTTGCTGCGATCCAGTCCCTACAACAAAAGAAGTCAGCGAGGTCGGTTGACGAGCTGGAAAAACTGGCCCGCAAAGGACAGCTACCTCAAAACGTGCAGTGTCCGCCGGATGTGTACCACTTTGCAAGAAGAAGCTGACCGCGCAGGATGCTGTAGCCATGGAACGAGCGGTGTCGGCGGAGGTCGAAGAGGCCCGGTGCCTCGACGCGCTAGCCCGAGAGCTCGAATGCAGTGCCCTAAGCGACTGAGGCGATGGAAGATTTCATCTGTGCAATGGCCGAAGTAGGAATAGAACCAATCGGTATGGGCAGTGATGAATAAGTACCTACAAGAGTGTGCGGTGTGGGTATTGCGTGAAGGTGTAAGGCTCGGTAGGAGGGTTCTCGAGGTAAACCCTCTCCTGAATAGAAAGGCACTGCCGGAATTGGCCTATACCGACTTTTGATTGGTTCTGAGACAAGATTTTGATGAATTTGATTGGACAGCTGAATTGGTACACCTTGTGAAATTTATACCGAGTATAATGTCTTGAGGTGACTGTATTTTTATTCGAAGAGGAGTACGTCATTTTTCTGAATCGCGCAATTATTGTGGAACAGAGGGAGTATTCACTACCTCTGACTGGTAATAAGTGCAGGAGGTGACAAAATGTCGTGATAAAGTTATCGGATTGGGTGAAATCTACGAACCAAGACGATTCTCGTCATATTTTTGCGGAATTTTATTTGATCAACTGCTCTTGCTACGTCGATGACAAGTCGCCATACAAAAACCAAGATAAACCTGACCAATGACCAGCTCATGTTCCTTTACCAAGACCTGCTTAGAGTAAGCACAAATGGTGCTCTAACGCGAAATCAAGAGGAACGTGTTTGCAAAGATTTTGGTGTACATTCATCGACTGGATGGCGCATCTGGAAGCGCGGTAACAACAGCAAGTCCAAAGATGCAGCGGCCAACGTATCCTCCCACAAGCATCGCTCTGGGCGAAAGCAATGCTATACCATGGACGACATTGAACAACTCATCAAACGAACACCTTTTCACCGCCGCCAATCTCAACGCTCGCTCGCCAAGGCCACTGGTCTGTCGCAATGGCCAATTTGGATTTGGAACTTCATTCGCAAGAAGTGGATCACTGTACGAACGAGTTGGTCGAAATCAAAGCTTACCCAAGAGCACAAGACGCAGCATTTTGTAGCGAGCATTTGTTGAAACACGGTAAACGTCAGTACAACATGTTCAACAATATTGTTCATATTGACGAAAAATTGTTTTACCTGATCAAGGTTCGCCGTCGATTTTACACGTGGCATGAAAAGTCGGTTCCCACGCGCTCCTTGAAGTGGAAGATGCACATCACAAATGTGATCTTCTTGGTTGCGGTGGCCCGACCACGACAAGGATGGGACGGCAAAGTGGGTTGCTGGCCTCTGGTCGCTACAACTCTTGCTCAGCGTCAGAGCAGGAAACGTCCTGCTGGGACTCCGATTTTGTCGACCGTGACCGTGACAAAGCCCGTGTACCGCGACTACCTTGTTCAGCCCGTGCTTCATGCGATCAAAAAGCACTGGGTTTGGGCAAATAATGACACGGACGACACAATATACGTACAGCAAGACAA